AACCAGGCCTGGTCGACGACCGGGCCGCGGGGACGCTAAGGCCCCGAAACCACCTCAAGGTAAGGAAGCTTCAAATAAGACCCCAAAATTTCCTAACCAATCTCAGAAAAAACAAATTTTGCCTCTGAAAGTGTTTTTAATAATATTTGGCTATCCCTTGGAGCCAGCGGGACACATCCTACTCTCTAAATTTCACAAGCCTTGTTCCCAGCAGCAAAGGAAGTCTCGCCTACATCACGACGAATAGCCAAACACTCGTCTTTCCTGGGAAAGATGTGCGGTAATTTAAGTTATAAAACTCGTATGCAAGCGAATGTGTCCCAAAGCTAGTGAGCAGCGCGCAGCGTAACGTCCTCTCTCCACGGGCGTCGCGGCCACACTGGTGTCTCCCAGATAGTGTGGCCGTCAGTGGCGATGTGGACGGGTAGAGGGGCTCAGGGGATAGATGGGAAGGGGTAGAGGGGCTCTGGTGATAGACGGGAAGGGGTAGAGGGGCTCTGGGAGTGGACGGGAAGGGGTAGAGGGGCTCTGGGAGTGGAGAGATGGAAAGGGGAGCTCTGGGTATGGACAGGAAAAAGGGAAGGAGGCGGCTCTCTGTATGGACGGGAAGGATGGGTGTGGGTTGGCGCAGCCTAACTTTTACATAGGATAGAGAAGGATTAGAATAGAATGACGGAGAGAGAGAGAGTAGGGGAGGGATGGGTGCATGGGGGATGGAAGAGGGAGATAGGTTAAGGGCGGACCATTTAAGCAACGAGAAAAAAAAAAGGTGGAAGAGGGCCCAGTCGATCACTTATTATCGTCGACAAACACGTCCAACAACATCCGCCTCTCTTGTGTATATATATTTTTTTTTTACCACAGTCTATCCTCTTTGTTTACGTTTCTTCGAAGTTTAAACAAAGTAGACTTTTTTTTCGTAGGCAACTTTGTGTATCCTGGAAGTTGCCCGCAGGCTCGTGTGTCTTGATAGATAGATAGATAGATAGATAGATAGTTTACATCATTGGCAATCTGCTTTTCAAGCTATGAGGATTAAATATATAACAATTTTTTACAGTTGTTGGTACTAAGAGTTGATCTCCTTCAACGAGGCTTTTACACAACGACACTTGTTTACATAGGGGTCAAAGGTCATGACCTGTGACACACGCCGTGACACGCCTGTCTGTCATCTTGTACTGTCCTTAAGCACCTTCATTATGGCTATTATGTCTGCACTAGTCCCAAGCAGTTGATATGGAATCATGTGCTGGAGGAGGGGGTCTTGAGGGGGGGGGGGGAGATGGAGGGGGGGTAAGGGGGGGGGGAGATGGAGGGGGGGTAAGGGGGGGGGGAGGGGCGCGGGGTGCGCGTGCGTGCGTGCGATCGCGGCGCGTCCTGGGTTATTTAGCGAGGTCCCGGGCACTGAGCTCCTCACACCAGCTCCCAGCGCCCTAAGAGCAACACCTCGCTCCGACATCTCTCACGCTCGGAGCTTATCCTTAACTCGTGTAAAAAGCTCGCCACTGAGCTTTCCGCCGTTGTTTAACCGGTTCGCACTTACATAAAGTGGTTGGAGGAACACTTTAATAGAACAGTGAACACCCATATAGTGCACTTTGGCGACCACTTATACGCAAGTGAATATTTAGTTTTGTCTCAGAGAGTGCAACCATTCCTTCGAGGACTACGCCAGACACCTCACCCTTCCCCCCGTCAACTTCCCACCTCCTTCAGTAGCGGCCAGCTCGTCTGGTCTCCTGCAGGATCAATCATGATTGCAACTGACCTCCGTCGGGAGTCGCTGAAGGCTACCAAGAACGTCCTCGGATCTATCAACTCTGCCATCGCAGACTCCCTCGCCCACGGCAAAAGGTAAACAATTCTGGCCCTAGGTGTTGAAAAATGGTAGCCTATGTTGTATGTGGAATATATGTGTGTGTGGAAGTCAGTGACAGGTGTGTGGTGTTAAGTGCGAGTGAGAGCCATATGTGTGTGGTGCCAAGTGTGTTGTCACATGTGGAGAGGGTGCCAAGTGTGTTGTCACATGTGGAGAGGGTGCACATTGTATTGTCACATGTGTAAGTGAATGCAAATTGTGTTGGCGGCCCACTTACACATGTGGCAAGTGTGTGGTCTTGGATCATACCAGTGCCAGGTGTGTGTGGTCATATGTGTAAGTGGGTGCCAAGTGTGAGGTCTTGGGAATTACCAGTGCCAGGTGAGAGGGGAGGGACACACACACACACCTGCGGGTGATGTTGAGACCAGAATGTGGTACAAAGATTGCTAAAGATTAAGCCACCCAAGAGGTGGCACGGGCATGAATAGCCCGTATGTGGTACAAACCTCAGGACAAGAACTTACAACTGACCTGACTTCAATCTATGACCTCGTAGCGTGATAGACCGACCCCTTTCACCCCCTCCCCGCACTGCTGAGGGGGTGTGTGACCGGTGACCTTCAATACGCTTGACAAGCCGCCGCACCCGAGCCGCGTCGTTGTCAACACCAAGACTTGGGGCTCGTTTCTTGGGCCGGGAGAGAGACAAGGACCTTAAGCATAATAATAAATTGTATTTAATATTGTATTTCTATACAACGCTAAAAAAAAGCTTTAGCTGAGGCCTCGTGGTGGTGAATCGCGTCTCTGACATTGTCTAGGGTGTTTACCCTCCGCTAACAATGTGTTCTGCTTGACGCTAGAAAGCTTTAGCTGAATATATTGTTATTGAGCAAGTTCATCCAGGAAGTTATATTTTGTTGAGATATTATTACTGGAATTTGTATGGTTGCTGTCTTTAGTGTGATGTTAATGATGTCTGGACATTATTAATTAAGGTGATATGCAGGTTGCTTTGCCTGTGGGGGGAGGGAAGATGCAGCTATGATGCATCATTGCGTATACCTGACGCAGGGGGGGGGGTGACGCAATCCTCTTGAGAACTGCGTAAGAGAGGCTCCTGCCACCCCCCTAGCAAGGCCCCTGCCACCCCCTAGCAAGGCTCCTGCCACCACCTAGCAAGGCCCCTGCCACCACCTAGCAAGGCTCCTACCACCCCCCTAGCAAGGCCCCTACCACCCCCCTAGCAAGGCCCCTGCCACCACCTAGCAAGGCCCCTGCCACCCCTAGCAAGGCCCCTGCCACCCCCTAGCAAGGCCCCTACCACCCCCCTAACAAGGCCCCTACCACCCCCCTAGCAAGGCCCCTACCACCCCCCTAGCAAGGCCCCTACCACCCCCCTAGCAAGGCCCCTGCCCCCCCCTAGCAAGGCCCCTGCCACCACCTAGCAAGGCCCCTGCCACCCCTAGCAAGGCCCCTGCCACCCCCTAGCAAGGCCCCTACCACCCCCCTAGCAAGGCCCCTACCACCCCCCTAGCAAGGCCCCTGCCCCCCCCCCCTAGCAAGGCCCCTGCCACCACCTAGCAAGGCCCCTGCCACCACCTAGCAAGGCCCCTGCCACCACCTAGCAAGGCTCTCCAAGACAAACAATAACTTCAACATGTTGGAGAATATATGTCAAGAGTACTTTCTTTGTAGGTTTCTTAATGATCACCACCATCTTACTCTTCATTGTTAATACTTAACCCGTGTCTCAAGGAGGCAGTAGTAGAGGGGGGGGGGTTAGTGGCCTCGTGGCCGGGCGGAACGGGGGGGGGAGGGGTAGAGAGGGGGTGGGAGGGGGTTTTTGTTGGTGATGACGCAGGCATGACGTCACTAGCTGCAGCTGCCCCCCCCCTCCACCACACATATGTGGGGGCCACTATAGCACCACCTCCGTCTTAGCGGCACACTTTAGCGTCTCGTTGTAGTGAACGTTTGCGGTCCCGATGGGTGCACGCGCGGTCAGCGTCGACCCGCGTGTAGTGGCCGGTAGCGGCTTCCTTCCTGTTGAGTATGGGGGGGGGGGAGGGTAAGGCTTCCTGTTGAGTAGGGGGGGGGGTCGTGTCGTACAGTTTGGACGAGCCGATCATTGTGGCGTTCCGGAGGGGGGGCAGCTCTCCCCTCCCGCTCCCTATTTATTTACTGCCCCCCCCTCCATCAGGCAGCCTCGTCACCGCGCCAAGATAACGCGATAAGACAGACGCAGCTGTTATCCTCCCTCAGGCCTCTCACTATCGGTTACGCTGGCAGCTCCATACACCCAGCCGGATGATTCATCCGGCCCTGCAACACTCATCACCGCCCCCTAGCGCCTGTCCGGCCCACGGGTGATGGCCTATAGGTGGCCCAGGCTGGCCTATAGGTGGCCCAGGGTGGCCTATAGGTGACCCAGGGTGGCCTATAGGTGGCCCAGGGTGGCCTATAGGTGGCCCAGGGTGGCCTATAGGTGGCCCAGGGTGGCCCAGGGTGGCGTATAGGTGGCCCAGGGTGGCCACACGCCTCTTGCCACTGGCCGTCTAGGTCCGGCTGTGGACCAGGCCAGCGTGGGCGGCATCGCCATGCCTCGAACCTCTGCCAACCTCATCTGCTCCCGGAACCTCCAGGCAACCTCTCCACCCTCTTAACGCCCCCCTCCCTCTCTCTCTCCCCCCCCTCTCTCTCTCTCTCTCTCTCGTCTCTTCCACATTCTTTATTCTCTCATATGCACATTTCTCTCGTATCTTCGGATTCCGGTTATGTATATCGTCATTTTCCACCATACTGGGCGTCTCCATAGGCCCGTCTAGGCCTATAGCTGGCGCTCCTCGGGATCACATAAGCCTATGGGGGGGTTCGAGCCCTGGAACTTGGAGAGGAGGAGGGGGGGGGGGCTCGGCGGGACGTATTCACTCGAGCGAGGGACATCCTCAAGGTACCCCAGGTAATTGTCTTACAATCAGATCCCTGAGTATTGTTAGGTACACTCATGATTGGAGGTGTGGGGTAGTTGGAAGGGCTCGAACCTGCGTCATCTCGATTGTGGGATGGGGGGGTGTTCAACGTCTTTCAATCGTCTGTCTGTCTTTGGCACTATATGTCTTCTGTGATGGGGTTTGGCGACACCTGCTTGACTCCCGGTATCTTTCTTCCGCAGGAGTGACATGCGGCTGCGGATAGGATGGCTGCGGCGCCGCGGCGAGGCGCAGGTCAGCGTCAGGCCGCAGCCCGAGGAGGCGCAGGGCTGGGCTGACAGCTTCCACAACCTCATGGCCTCAAAATGTAAGTATATTCCACCAGTGTTGTGTACAAGTGCTTCATCTTATATGGCTGTTGCTCGATGTTCTTGCACGGTGGTCAGGTGTAGGGGGGTGTGGGGGTGTGTAGGGGGGGGTATGTAGGCAGGTGTGGGGGTGTGTAGGCAGGTGTAGGGGGGGTGTAGGCAGGTGTGGGGGGTGTAGGCAGGTGTGGGAGGGGGTGTAGGCAGGTGTGGAGGGGGTGTAGGCAGGTGTGGAGGGGGTGTAGGCAGGCGTGGGGGGGGTGTAGGCAGGTGTGGGGGGGTGTGTAGGCAGGTGTGCGGTGTGTAGGCAGGTGTGGGGTGTGTAGGCAGGTGTGGGGTGTGTAGGCAGGTGTGGGGGTGTGTAGGCAGGTGTCGGGGGGTGTAGGAGGGGTGTACGCAGGTGTAGGAGGGGTGTAGGCAGGTGTAGGGATGGGTAGCCAGGAGCGGAGAAAACCCCGCACTATTACACATTTTCACTAAATAAAGTGGTTAGGCTCTGTCAACTTTCTCGAGATAGGGAGTCTCCTGGTCCTATTTGGCGAGTCATAGTACACACAGCCCCCGACGGTGTGGTGGTGGTGTGGCACCGTATAGAGCGTTGAGGGCCACGTCTGGCCCGCCTCGTGAGGCAGGAGAGGGCCACGTCTGGCCCGCCTCGTGAGGCAGGAGGGGGCCACGTCTGGCCCGCCTCGTGAGGCAGGAGGGGGCCACGTCTGGCCCGCCTCGTGAGGCAGGAGGGGGCCACGTCTGGCCCGCCTCGTGAGGCAGGAGGGGGCCACGTCTGGCCCGCCTCGTGAGGCAGGAGGGGGCCACGTCTGGCCCGCCTCGTGAGGCAGGAGGGGGCCACGTCTGGCCCGCCTCGTGAGGCAAGAAAGGGCAGCAGGCGTGTCTCAAAACATATGAGGTCAGCGGTGTGTGTGGGGCTTTGATGTAGGGCAGGGAAAAGAAATCGGGTGCATGAATTTAACGAGACGAATCTGTGAACATTTGGAATTTGGCCGTCAACATCAAGAGAGAGAATGATGGGGATAAAAGCGGGCCTCCACGACCTGCCCCACATTCCATCAGTCCTGAGATTGTTGGTGAAGATCCAAGCTGAGGGAGGGAATGTGGGCACGCCTGTTGAAGCCCCCTCCTGTGGGCACGCCTGTTGAAGCCCCCTCCTGTGGGCACGCCTGTTGAAGCCCCCCTTCTGTGGGCACGCCTGTTGAAGCCCCCTCCTGTGGGCACGCCTGTTGAAGCCCCCCTCTTCTGTGGGCACGCCTGTTGAAGCCCCCCCTTCTGTGGGCACGCCTGTTGAAGCCCCCCCCTTTTGTGGGCACGCCTGTTGAAGCCCCCCTCCTGTGGGCACGCCCGTTGAAGCCCCCCTCCTGTGGGCACGCCCGTTGAAGCCCCCCCCTTCTGTGGGCACGCCTGTTGAAGCCCCCCCCTCTTGTGGGCACGCCTGTTGAAGCCCTCTCCCCCACCACCCTCCTAAACACACTTCCCAGACATGCTCTAGCCCCTACAGCACCCACACAGACCACCTTCACCTCGACACACAAACATCTAAACAATTCTTACTAGTGGCTGACGATTTCTCGGAAATTTTCTATATAAACGACATGTGTTATAGCCATCAAAGGGAAGTGTGGCGGCTTCAGAAACCACCTCCTAAAACGACCTAATCAACTTCATTTAGATGCCGAGATCCTTGGCAACAGTTGTGGCAGCAGGTGGGAGCGAGAATAGCAAGTCCCGTGGTGAGTGGGGGGCCGAACTGGCCATTTTTGTGGACCTTTTTAGTGCTCAAAATATGAAGGGAGTGAAGCGTAGGTGCACAAGGTCGGGGCGTCAAGGCTGTCGTAGCCGCCCTCTACCTTCTCAGGGGTCTCTCGGGAGGGACAAAATCGCCGTTGAACTTGTAAACATAAAAAAATAAAGTAATAATAAGCAAACCTATCTAGAGCGACGCAGTGCCAGTGGGTGGAGGTGCAGCTGTGGGGCCACGGAAGCATGCGTGGGTCGCAGGCAGGTGTGGGCCGCTGAGGTAGACTGGGCCACGGGTGTGGGCCACGGGTGTGGTCCGCGAGGAGGGCCACAGACCATCATCACCAATGATACCCGTTAAATGTTTACATAAAATAGAATCTGTGCTCGTATCAAGGATAAGGAGGCATTTGGCAGTGATTTCATTGTTTGCATGGGTACGCACCTGGGAGAGACTGCACGCACGTGCGCGCACACACACGCACACACACACGTGCGGGAATGTGGCAGTGATGGCGCCACGACTCGTCTATAGTGTGGGTGACAGCTAGGAACAAATCAGTGTTGGAGTTGCAAGGTCGCTTGAGCGTCTTAAGCTTAGCTCTGTGTAGAGTGTGCAAGACACTGTGTAGATCGTGCCAAATAATAAATAATGCATTGAGGTATTGCACCAAATATTGCAAATATTCTTGATATTACTTCTTGTCCCCACCTGGTGTGTGTCTTCAAGAATTAACCCTACAATTTTCTTCATCTTAACAGATGGTCAGGCGCTCTTCAAAGCCTTCCTGCAGAGGGAATTCAGTGAGGAGAATGTGGAGTTCTGGCTGGCAGTGGAGGACTTCAAGAAGACACGCGTGGCAAAGATGCCCTCCAAAGCCTCCAAGATTCACTCCGACTACGTTGCAGTTCAGGCACCTAAAGAGGTGAGTTGGCCTCTACATGTTGTCCTTAGAGTGTACGTTGGAGCGTATCAAGAGCCCATTGTCCTTGGTCGTGCTGGCTGCTTTAAGATGATGTACACTGTAGTGTACACAACGTTCAGTAACGACGACAAGCCAGTACAGTCATTGACGGGGCTCTTGATGAACGCAATGTACATCACTAAGTACTCTACGTACTGGGTCGAATATGCGAGGAATAAGGAGGAAGAGAGTGTGTGTGTGTGTGTGTGTGTGTGTGTGTGTGTGTGTGTGTGTGTGTGTGTGTGCACTCGCCTGGTGTTACACACACCACACACACACACACTTCCTACTCTGTTTTTATTTTCTCTTATTTGTAATTCGAAATGTGTGAAGGTATTTATTGCGTTTAACAAGAGCGTCTCTACACTCTCTGTCTGTCTCTCTCTCTCTCCCCTCGTCTCCCGCTCTCCTACGCACCATCACCCCTGCACTCCCACACTGCCAATTCTCTCAGACCAAAACAAATATTACATTTCCCCCACTCTATTTCTCCCACTCTATTTCCCCCACTCTATTTCCCCCACTCTATTTCCCCCACTCTATTTCCCCCACTCTATTTCCCCCACTCTATTTCCCCCACTCTATAAGGTTTCGCTGCACCCTGTGCTTCGATCTCCCCCCCCCCAGCATCCACCCCCCACCCTCTCTGTCTCCCCCTCGCCACCCTCTCTCCCCCTGAGGTAACCATGGCAACGCAGCAGCCGGCCAAGAGAGCTATTGATCTCCAGGGTAGTTGGTGCACCGAGTCCTCTCTCTCTCTCCCTTCTTCTCCTGTCTACTTACCGCCTAAAGATACTGGCAGATCTGTGTAAAGAAATATCAGATATATGGGAAAAGAATCGGATTTGAAATGGTATTCCACCTACTGGTGGAATACCAGTAGGTGGTACTGGTACCACTGGTACTATGGGGCTTGGGGAATGATACGGGAATGGAGTGAAGTAGGCCAGCCTCCAACACCATCCCATTCAGTTCCACACCATCCCATACCGTTCCACACCTGTCCCACACCTGTGTACGCTATACTCGTAAATGTATTAACCAGTACGCCACAATCGGGTCAATACATCTAAACAAAACGAAGTTATATCTTACAAGACGTGACAACCTTGTCACCTTCACCTTGAAACAGGACTCTCAAGTGTCTCTTAGTGTAATATTCATCATTCTCGGAGTAACCGAGAAAAATATGAATGTTATATTAATTTATATTTAATAACGAGCGGCCTTCACAGTGCTCTGTAGCGTTTTGATCTTCAGTTATTGTGGATCTGAATTATCATTAATTCAATTAAAATCTTAAAATGTGGATCACATTATATGTGACGGACAATAGGCGGGTTTAAAATGAGATATCAAAGGCTACCTGGCCAGGACAAATTGCACCCATAGCTTAATAGTGGGAGGAAATGCATTACAATGTCATTATATATTTGTAAGTGAACGTGTAGGAGAGAGAAGCAGGGACGGAGGTGGTGTGTTGTTCCCTGACTGCATGGGGATGAGTCCATAACCTTTAAGCACGGAGACGAGCAACTGGGGGGGGGGGGGAGTGCTTAAGGGGGGAGGGGGAGTGCCTAGAAAGGTCACAGTGGCACCCGGGTTCAACACATGCCAACTCCTGCTCCTTATACACAGATAAACCTCAACCACAGCACACTTATCTCTTCTTCTTTTCTTCCTCTCATCTCCATTTTTCCTCTTATCCTCTCTCTTCCCTAACGATATATATCCCGTCCTCCCCACCTCGTGTGACCCCCAACCTGACGGGGTTGTGTGGTAAAAGCTAAGATAATGTGATCTTCTTCCTCAGATCAACCTGGATCCCGGCACCCGCGCGCAGATCGCAAAGTCTCTGGACTGTCCGGACAAGTTCATCTTCGACGCGGCCCAGAAGAGGGTCCAGGCGCTGATGGAGTCCGACGCGTACCTGCGGTTCTTGCAGTCGGAGCTGTACAAGGAGCTCCTCCACCCAGAGTCCTCACCCTCTAACCCAGAGACGTTATAGGGCATTCTCGAGGACGTGTCGTTTGTCACCGAGGACGACCTTGAGCAGCCGTTGTCGTCACCATCGTCATAGAGTACATGTGCTGAGGGACCAATTGTTGTGAGCCAGCAGCAGCAGCAATAGCAGCCGCAGCAGCAAGAGCAGCAGCAGCAGCA